TTAAGCATTTCTGCATAATAATCAACTGGTCGTTTATGTGGATAATTATTAGCATTGAAATACTTTCTTGCTTGTATAACTGATTTAATTGCTTGTTGATAAAAAACTAACTCACGTTCATAGTCATTATCGATATTTTGTACTTCAGTAACATCTTCATTTGTTAATCGTAAATTTTTTTCAAATTCTTCAGGTGTTTTGCCGTCTTCAGTAACTATTTCTTTACACATTTGGTTTAATGCCTGAACCATTTCTGGTGTATTTTCCAATTTGACAACTTCAACTTCGGTCATACAATATAATAATCAAATTTTTGTTCTTTCTTTTTTTTTTAAACCCTTTTTTCTTTTTTTCTTTTCTTGTTTTATATAACAAAATATTATTACTATGGGAATATTACTAATTATTATGGATATTTCCCGATAATTACATTAAAATAAAAAACAAAATAAATTTAATCTAAGAAAGATTCCAATAATAAATAAAATTGTCCATCCAAGACAAATGAACATACTATTGATTGTTTTTCTTTTTCAGTGTTATGGGTTATATAACTTTCTTGATAACGTTTTTTCTGTTTATAAAACTCGTTTTGAAGTTTGTTTAATCTATTATTCTTAGAAATATCATTATTCATTTTGTAGAACAGAAATAAAACTAGAGCGAGTTGTTTATCTTCATGTGTATTTGACATTCATGGATTTTACCAAACTGAAGAATATCAACCATTTCCATTATCATATCTAGAAGGACCTTATCCATTACAACACCCATATTATTGTGGAATATCATGTTTTTTGAAAAGTTATAATTCACCAATGGTACATTATTCTAGTTATCCAACACAATATGATAATGATGATATTTGTTGGTCTAAAGAACCTCCTAATGATTTTTTAAGGATTTATCCAAAACCATTATTCATTTCAATTCATCACCCAAACACAGCAGTGTTTTATCCTGGATTTCAAACAATACAATATTATAATCCACAAGACTTTGAATATTCAAGAGGAATTGAATTTGGTAAATCTACATTCTTCATATTTTATGATGTTTCAAGTTCTAATAGTAATTTTAAGGAAAAACGAAATGGAGTATCACTTCTTATTAATTCTATTAGTCCATTACAACAAGTTCGTTTAGTTATTTTTAATAATGAAGCTAGAGTATTACAAGGATTTATGGATATTACTCATAGTTCAATCTATAGAATGTCTGATAATGTTTGTC